CCCTGAGGTCTAAATTAGTCAGTAAACTTCATAACTTTCCCTTTAAATGTCCCATTGCACATTTTCCCACCATTCTTAACTTGCTTAGCCTGTAGATGAACTGTTCCTTACTGCATTATCATTCCTTAGAATCATGAACTCTATGATTTCATGATCACTTTTACCCAAGCTGCCTTCTACTTTCAAATTTTCAACCAGTTCCTTCTTGTTTGTTAAAATCAGATCTAGAACAGCTTCCCCTCTAGTTTATTTTCTCAACCTTCCGAAATAAAAAGATGTCTTCAGTGCAGTACAAGAACTTATTGGATAATCTCTGTTAGTTTTCCAACAGATGTCTGGATAGTTGAAATCCCTCATCACCACCACATCCTGTGCTTTGGATGATTTCCCTACTCCAAATTGATTCCCAATTGACCAGTAGCTGTCTGTTGCAAGTTTCCACAGGGCAATTTCTATGTATTCCTCCACTGTCAGAGTGGGTCTCATTCTGGTATTCTTGTGCTTCAGGGTTGGGGAAAGCAATTCACAAACTTTCATGAAAGTGACCTTACACATGTGAAAGATTTGCAGCCACTGCTGATCATCTCATACCTGCATAGTTATGTGATCCCACCATTCTGTGCTTGTCTCATGGCACTCGAACCGTCATTCCACTGTATCAGAGGATCAAATGCTAGCAGCATTTGTCAGTCACTCAACTCAAGTGCTCCAAAGAAGAGTATGTTCATGGCCTCTGGAGATTCTTTTTGTTCTGGTGGATCCTGGATACACTCAGATATACTCTAGCATAAGGCCCACTAATAGGTTAATATGATTGTCATAATGTTTTGATACTCATCGGGATCCACAACGGGTTCTGTGCTTATACTGCCATTGAGTCTTCACAGATAACTAGAGAAAAAAGGGTGCAAAGAGAGTGCTGTTGCTGGCATGCAGTGGGGAAGGATGAGATGAGTGCATTATGGGATACTGATGGCATATATCCACATCAGCCACCTGCTGCACACTCTTGGTCCCAGCATGCACTGGGAACATAAACCAGAATGTAAAGGGAAGAAGAAACTGTGGGATAGCTACCCACAGGGCATCACTCTCAAAGTTGATGGTAACCACTGTACTGGGGATGCACTACTTTGAACTGTGTTGAATTCTTGTGCACAGTAAAGACATGTACTTTCAACTTTACAAAATTGGGGGCTAAAAAGTTTATCTTGATAAATTCAACCTTATCTCATAATGTAGACATGGCCTAAGTCGGTAAATTGGGTGCTTTGTTTATTCCTTGAATACTTTTGGGTGTCCAGATATTAGTGGTCAAGTGAACGTATTTTTTAGTCTCGCTAGACTAGAAGATTGCAGCCTTTTCTTTGAATGTGGACTTCATGCCTTTGTATTTGTTTAGTTGCAGGATAACAATGTGCTCAACATAGACCTTGAGGAAAAGTTGGTTAGAGCAGTATCTGGTGGTACATAACTGTGCTTTCTACTTGGAATCACTGGAACTCTGCTGATAATATAATGCTATTCATTTACAAGTGCAATTGAAAGGGAATTGATTTTCGTCTGTAAATCCTGTATGATTTCCCTGTTTGTGTCTCCTTATATTTTATACCCACAGTAGAGAACAGCTGGCACCATTTGAGCTTATCGTTCCTAGACTGTATCTAACAATAGCTGAAAGTAGGATGTTCAGAATAAAGAGCCCTATGTTCTGAACTTGTCTTCCTGTTTTCTTTTGAACAACTGTGGCTGTTGAGATTCAGGGTGTTTCCCAAACCCCGTTTCTTATCCTAGTTTTTCCAGAGGAGCAGAAGGTTTTATTTGATTTGGTTTCAAAGAGGCTTTAGTGTTGAGTAGACCTGGGGAAAATGTGTTGTTCAAAACTTTTGTTGGTAAAAAAATGTAGATTTGGGTCAACCAAAATATTTCAGTAATTCATGTATTTATTACCAAAGTTTTTCATTAAAAACAAACAAAAAACTTTTAAAACATTCTGAAAAATGAAAATATTGTCATATTTGAAACAACATTTAGGTTTTTTTATTTAAAAAGGCTTTTTGTATTGAAATTTCCTTTAGGATGTAAAAAAATAAATATAAATATCAAAATCAGACCAAAATATTTTGTTCGGGTCAAAAGAAATGTTTCTTTTGACCCAAAATGAATTGCTTTTATTACTGTGCTTCGTTTTCTAAGATCAGTGTATGTGTTTTGGAATCGCCAGCAAACAAAACAAATCAGTTATTCACACAGGTTTGCTAGTACATTATGCTAGTACTACATCCTTCTTTCAAAAGGGGGGTGTAAATTAGACAGATTGAAATTGTAAATGAAGCCGGGATTTGAATTTCCCATGTTTCATTTGCATAATGGCAGCTGCACGTTCTTTTGAAAATGGGCATTTCGAAAGTGAAACTGCTGTCTAGACGCGGTTCTTTAAAAAAAAAAAACCCTGAGGCATACAAGATCTTTCCCAAAAAAGGTGGATTTTTTTCAAAAGGACCGTGTCTAGACTGTGGTTTCATTTTCAAAATACCCATTTTCGAAAGAACACACGGCCACCATTATGCAAATGAAGTGCGGGAAATTCAAATCCCGGTTTCATTTGCAATTTCGATCTGTCTAAATTTATATCCGTCTTTCGAAAGAGGGATGTAGTTTAGACATAGCCTATGATAGATCGGGATACTAAGGTGGAATCACCATTATTGGAGGTTTTTAATTTCTGGCAGCAAAAATGTCTCTTAGTCCTGCCACAGGATTAGAAGACCTCTTTTTTTCAGTCCTACATTTCTATGAAATACTAGTATTTCCAGATTGAAATTCTTATATGTATTTGATATAATTGACCTGTCTATATATATGTTTATCCCAAAGATCAATGCACACATCTCTCAAGATAGGTCTAAATCCTGGTTGTCAAACTGACCTGAGTACTCTCATTGACCAAGTATGTGTGGTGAGCAGGATTTTACTATAGAAAGGCATACTGACTGTACAGTGCACTGCAAGTGAGGAATAAACTTAAACCAGTGAAAATCATGATAGGTTTATGGAAATATGCAATGTTTGTAAATAACTTTTTAAAAAAGAGATGACTCAGGAAAGTTCCTTAAACGTGAATTTACATCAAATTATTTTTACTGGTTTGAATTTTTTATTGAATGTACAATAACCTGTTTAATAATACATATTAATGTATGTAGTATTAGTTCAAAGAAAAACTAATTTTATTAGATCAACAAGCTGGAAAGATCTTTTTAAAAAGTTACACACAAGACTGAGGAGTATTTTTTCTTTCATGCAAGCTGTAAGTAATACACTTGAACCTCCAGAATCTCATGAAAGAAGAGGGAGGAAGCGAATCTGTGTGCTGCCACTTCCCCTTTCCACCAGCTCGGGGAATGACAGTGCAGTGAAACGCTTCTCTGGACACTTTTCCCCTGCTACTCCCATAGCGCTGGAGCTGCAGGGTCTGGGGGTATGTCTACACTACCCTCCTAGTTCGAACTAGAAGGGTAATGTAGGCATACCGCACTTGCAAATGAAGCCCGGGATTTGAATTTCCCGGGCTTCATTTGCATAAGTGGGGAGCCGCCATTTTTAAAACCCCGCTGGTTCGAACCCCATGCAGCACGGCTACACGGGGCTCGAACTACCGTTACTCCTCATTTCACGAGGGTACATGAGGGAGATGGGAGTGTGGGATCTGGGCATGAGGGGAATGAGAGTGGGGTGCTTACCTGATGCCCTGTCCCCAGGTGCATATTTGGCTCCACGTACTGAATTTGTACCTTCAAAACAAAAGTATATATGAACACCCATGGTCCAGAAAATTCCATAATCTGTCATATCCTATTTCACAAGGTTTCTGGATTAAGGCAGTTCAAGTGTAATTGTGATAGCTATAGATTGTAAAATGAGTTGACAGAAGAGAAGTCTTTCTGTATATATTCCATTTATTCGTTTTTATCTTTTAAGATGTGCACTATAAAATTATCTACCTATTATAAACAGTAATAAACTACAAGTAAAATGTGAATAAAATGTCAATAAATAAATAAAAATGATTTTTTTTGCTCAAGATGAATTTTGATTCTGATCAATGTGTTACTTTTAAGTGTGAACTTAAAATAGTAATTGAAAAATAGAAATAATTGCGTTGTATTCTTCTAAAACTCAATATTATGCTTTCTAGAAGGTACTCACTTTGCAAAGGTATGATGACTTCGGAAGATACATAGCAATAGAGAATCAGACCTCTTGTTTCAATAGGAATTTGGAGATGGAAAAAAGGCATAACCCTGAATAGTAGAGCTTGCTATACGTTAAGAATTAACAGATGACATATTGAGAAGGCTATTTTGGCATACTTATTTTCTTTAATTCCTTTTATTCTCACAAAACTACTTATTATTTCCATGTCATTAAAATAAATTGTCTTTTCATTTGGAAGTACTAGGGCCTTTACTACTGCAGTTTGAGAAAAAAATCATAATCAACTGTTGTGATAGCTTTATAAATAGACTACCTTCAAGTTTGCTACGGCGTTTTGAAACTCACACAATTTAGGATTATTAATTTTTTCATGTTATACTGAATATTCATTTGTACAGAATTTTAAGTATAGATTATGATTTCTAAATTCAGTATATTTTATTTCTACTTTGCCACACTTTCAAGTTTGCTTGTTATATCTAGCAGTAATTTTGTAGCCTGTTATTCCTTCAAACATAGATTCAGAAAAAAATTCTATATACCACAATATAAAAAACTTATAAAAGGATTTCCATGACAACCATATCATAAGCTTTTGTTCTTTCTTTGTTACTGAATTCACAATGTCGCTTTTAATGACTTCTGTGCAATTAAAACAGAATGCATAATTTGTGTGAATATATAAACAATATAAATGAGTTAGGCTTGCACTACAGTGAATATAAGTTATGATGCTAGAATGCTGCTTAAGAATGTAATATGGATTCTTTCATTTATTGCAGAACTGTGAGATGCTAGAAAATAATTTTGATGACATCAAGCATACGACTCTTAGTGAACGTGGGGCACTTCGAGAAGCAATGAGGTAAGCCTGGGTCACCATGGCAACATTCACAGATGTGGTAAAGAAAGAGTCATTCTTCATTATTGGGGGAACAAATGAGTTCATTGCCACCATTCAGCTCTATTCTCTAAGGTATTAATTTGTCAGTGGAGAGGGGTCCCTTGAGGCTGTACTTTAGTTTTGAAGCTGCATAAATGTTAAGCCTCACTGCACAGTAAAAAACGTAAATGTTTAATTTGTTACTTAAAATGCTTAAGGGGTACCTTGTTTTATATTAATACTGAACTGTGTGAATGAGTGAAAATATTGTTCATCTAAATGGTGTAAGTGTTAAAGAAACTATATGGTAGTGCTATGAATGAGCCTATATTTGCTCCTAATTTGTATTTAACTTTCTATATATAGTGGCCCATGTACAGTACTTTCTTTTTCTATTAGACTTTAACAGGATTGCATTACTGTGCTTTTTTTAAAAAAATCAATGGTTTCCATCTTGCAAGCTAAGAATAATCTATTTTACAAAATACTTTATATTGTAGCACACTTTATTTTAAACATTCAGTATCTAGCATTATGCTTAAAACTTTTTTTTAAAATACTCTAGAATTGGTCAAGGAATGGAACTAATTCTGCCATCCTTATTCATGTTGTGTAGTGCCTTGCTTCAGGAGTTATCCAAGGCAAGGTACTTACTCCATGTAACTAAAGGTATCAGATTTGCATCCATGTTCTAAAGTATCTTTTTATTCTTGAAAACTAATTTGGCCAATTTCAGAGGTAATATAAATGGTTATGGAAGTCTCTCTCTCTCTCTCTCTCTCTCTCTCTCTCTCTCTCTCACACACACACACACACACACACACACACACACACAGAGTCTGCTTACAAACATATGCCTCCAATTCATTTAGTTAGTATTCATAATCCCTTTACATTTATGGATATTCAGATGAGCATGTTTTTATCTTTGTGTTGTGCACGGTGTCTGTGAACAACAGTTTAAATAACTGTAAGAGCATTCACACATGAAATGCAAGCCTAGCTGTTTTGAAAGCTTTTATTGCTTGCACAACAAATCCACTTCAGTTTGAATATTTTTCACTTATTATTGTTCCACATAACAATGAAGATTACTGAGATTGAAAGATAAAAGAAATTATTTTTTTCTTTCTTTAGTTTGTTCATTTTGGCTAGGTCTACACTATAGTCTTTTTTCAGAAAAAGCTATGCAAATTGCTCAGCTATGAGATATACAGGGCTCCCTGAAAGAGCACGTTTGCTCTTTTGCTTTCCCTGGACACAGTGGAGTTTTTCCTGGATACTGAAGGTATCCAGAAAAAATCCTGCAATCTAGACCTGCCGTTTGAGAGCAATGTGTGTGTAGTCATGTTTAGTCTTTCTTCTGTATAGCCAGTCTGTTTCCTTTATTTGTGTGGGTCGTTCACACTGCAACAGAAGAGAGAAAACAATAATAAACATAGAAAAGTTATTGGGGGGCAGGTGAAGCATGTGAAACTACTTTTAAACACTTCCTTTTAAACAGACTAGATTTCAAGAAAAGGGTCTGTTTCTAACTACATGTGTAACATTTCATGGTTACAGTGGCAGCATTTTTGGCATGTGGCTCAACAAAGTTTACTTTATATTCTGCTACCTGCTTTCTTTGACGGCCAAAATTCTAGGGCCAATAGAATGGCAAAATTTCAATGTTTGTTTTCCTGATAGTAGGGGCAGTTTTGTAGGAGTATGTAGGAGTATATTTAAGATTTTCTTAAAAGCACCAAAATGGTTTAAGACCTATCAGAAACTTCCTTTTCAGTTATTTCATCACTTAGGGTGCATTTACACTGCAGGGCTTAACTCAAAATAAGCTAAGCAAATTGAGCTATGTCAATTGCGTATCTTATTTTGAAATACAGGCAGTCCCCGGGTTACGTACAAGATAGGGACTGTAGGTTTGTTCTTAAGTTGAATCTGTATGTAAGTCGGAACTGGCGTCCAGATTCAGCCGCTGCTGAAACTGACCGCCAGTTCTGACTTACATACAGAATCAACTTAAGAACCCCAAGCGTCCCCAACTCAGCTTCTGCTGAAACTGATCAGCAGCTGATTCCAGGAAGCCCGGGGCAGAGCAACTCTGCCTCGGGCTTCCTGTAGTCAGCGCTGGTCAGTTTCAGCAGCGGCTAAATCAGGACGCCTGGGGCAGAGCAGCTGGGGGGCTGCTGGGGTGCTCCCGTAGCGGCGCTCCTCGGCTTTTATTCAAAGTAGGAATAAGATCCTCCGGAAAAGGGCTTTTTTTCTGGAGGATCGGGGCCAGTGTAGATGTTCTTTTCCAGCTTTTCTAAAAGCCGGAAAAAAGCGGCGGACATTTTTATTTAAATGCCGCGGGGGATATTTAAATCCCCCGCGCATTTCCCTATTACGATTTCAAAAATTACCATGCCCCTTCTGGAAAAGGGGCCAATGTAGACGAGCCCTTAGTGAACAGTCCAAAATGCCTTTTGTTCCACTGAGATCTGTAACATACATAATGTTGTATTTCAGTCCTCTTTTTCATTTTATGAGCAACTTTCATTAAGATTAATTTTCTTATGCTGTTAAAAAGTTAAATAAAGCACTTCTAACTTGCATTAGCAAGTTCTTCTTTGAGTCATGTCCCTGTGGGTGCTCTCCACTGTTGATATTGGGTTGTTCTGGCACTGCAGATTGGAATTTTTCACAGCAGTAGCCATTTGGGTCACGCAAGCATGATAGGTGCCTCATGGCATTTGCGCCTTTGCACTTTGTGTGTGCAGCCCAACTCTCCTTAGTTTCTTCGCTACTGCCCTTGGTCACTTTTTTTGTAACAAAAACGGTGCCGGTACTCTGGGGCAAACTTGCTGAGCAAAAAAAGACTGTGCTATGGGCCAAAATACAGTCACAGCCCCTTTAAGAGCCAAAGCGCCAGGCTGGAATCCGGAAAAAAAACCACTGCGCATTCCAAGCACCCTTCCATCAGGAGCCAAGCCTCCCCAGGAAAACAGGTGCCAGTACATGCAGGGGAAATCCCATTCCTTTTCTGTGGGCTGGAAAACAGATGACGGTACGCCATTCCAGGCCATATCATCACAAAAAAAGCACTGGAAAAATAATTTTTAAAAAGAGACAGAGAAGAGAGATGATAAACGGGGAACAGGCCCAGACTGCAGCCTCTCCTCACAAATGCTTGTTTCACATTATACTTTGTAAATAGGTTTACAAAGGAAGGCAGGAAGGCAGGCTACAACCACTTGTGTTTAGAACTCAAACACTACTTCTGATGCCGTGCCTGGTCCTCCCGGATTTAAAGTGCAACACTTGTCGCGATCCAGTGCTGGCCTCTGATGGTCATTCAGGGAGCATCCACTGCCTTGGCACTCTTGTTACACCTAGTATACATTAGGAATGTACACCCCACTCTCCCACCATAGATACTACATGCTGTATCAAAGATAGAGAAGTTTCCCTTGTGCTAGTCACCAGCAGAGGGGTTTTGATCAGGGTCGCTCTAGACTGAGGGCCCAAAAGACAAAGGCCCCTAACAGCTGTTTTTTGACCCAATATTCCTCAAAGCATCAGTTTTGAGATTCTAGTGAAGGGTCTGCCCGACCTCTCCCACATACTAGTGCCTTACGATGATGCGAGAATATACCACCGATTGCACCTATTCTATCATCAATGGGCTTCAATTGCAACTGACCAATGGGTCCTCGAAATAGTAAGGTCAGGATATGCTATCCCTCTCATCTCCCTCCCTCCAACCTCCCCACCTTCCCCATCCCTTTTCAGGGACCCCTCTCACGAAGAGCTTCGAATGCAGGAAGTAAACCACCTGCTCCTCATAGGAGACATTGAGAGAGTGCCCGGCCATACAGAGGCAGGGGCTTTTACTCCAATTGCTTCCTTACGGAGAGGAGGATGGGAGATTCGTCCTTGACATCTGCTAACTCAACAAATTCTTACACAAGCAGTGGTTCAAAATGATTACCCTTGCATCGATTATTACAGCATTGGACAAGGAAGACTGGTGTGCAGTCCTTGACCTCCAGGTCTACTTCTACACAACCATACATCCTTCGCACAGATGGTTCTTCCAATTCACAATAGCCTTCAAACACTTTCAATACAGAGTCCTTCCAATCAGTCTATCCTGGGCTCCCAGAGTCTTTTCAAAGACTCTCACAGTCATTGCACTTACCTGCAATGCCAAGAAGTTATGGTTTTTCCATGCCTGGACAATTGCCTTATGTGAGGTCCCTCCTGGGAAGAGACACGCAACATGGTGTTAGTCACCAAGAGGCTCTTGACTCTCTAGGACTCCTCATAAATGAGCAAAAATCTATTCTCCAACCAACCCAAGTTCTGGATTTTATAGGTGCTCCACAACCGCTTGGGCCTACTTGCCAGACCAACGTTTCCAAGCCATACAGAACTTGACCTCCATTGTTGCAGCCAGCCCTATTATATCAGTGCTCATTTGTCTGCAGCTTATGGGTCACATGACATATGTTATCTGGCATGCATGTCTACCATTCTGATTCCTGCAACAGTGGCTTTTGTCAGTTCTCTCTCAGACCAGATTCTGACCCAGGCTAACAGCCTGAGGACCTCAAACAGCGTGGACCAAAAAAAACCACCAAAAAGTGAATCTCCTCTTTACCTCAGGGGGCTATGTCACTGAAACGGCCATCTCCGTTAAGGCTGGTACCGAGAACAGCAGCACCTCATCTCAGCATGTATGATGCTCCAGGCATCTCGAGAACTGCCAATGCAGCTAACAAAGAGACATGCACTAAACCACGTTCTGAGGCATCAGGCTTCAAGTTTCCTGCCTCATCAGCTGCAGCAGCACCCAGAACTGACACAATTTTGCTGTCAAAGTATAAGAGTGTGGCACCTACCATATTACTGGGCCCCTCTGCCACAGAGACACCTAATGCTGTGCTAGTCAGCTTGCACTGAGGTATGATTCAGCACCTCAAATAGCATCTGTGCTTCCCAAT